TGTCGTATTTTTCTATTTTTTTATATAACATGCTTCCATGTTCCATATTATTCCTGTAATGATGTGTTGTATTTACTATTATATAATCTAGTCACCTTACCCTGTGCTGTTAAGGTTTTAACTGTTATTATTTGTTCAAGCCCATTTTGTATTGTAACAAGCATTCTTTGTTTCTCTACGACCATCTGCATCGTTAAACGACCCACCGGCGAGTCGCGTGGCGGGAGCCGACCTTATATATAGGACCAACCAACTGTTGACGGAGTTAGTTCAGTCCTCTTGTCATACAGTTCACATCCTTTGAGTGACACTCGTCACCTGTTAACTATACTTAATTTATTTGTGTTGTTCCTGTCGCCACCAATGTGGTATATCTATGTGAGTACCTATTTATGTCTTATTTATGTTCATCAGTATTTGCTTAGTTACACTTAGTTTCACATTAGTTAATTTCAGTGTTAGTTTTATATATTTATGCAGTGTTAACGTTATCCAATGCTTTATTTTTATTCTTTTGATGTTAAGATGTTTAGTATCATTTGTGTCTTAAAAGTTTCGATGGAGAATCAATTTGTTGTGACAGCCTACGAGGCTCTTTATTGTGTTAATATTTAATTAATTAAATTCTTAAAAGGTTTAATTCATTTATTTTTATTCCCATTTAATTTGCTTCACTTTTTTTGTTTGGTTACTCCTAGAACCTGGATATTTAAGTAAATTAAGAGACGGCGTAACAAGACCTAAGCAGAGAAAAAGACAGTCGACATCTTAACCATGCTGTGACGTAACTTCTTGGCTGCTGCTTTCGTTCAGATATCACCTCCTCGAGTCTGGCATACAGTAGAAACATCTTGCATCCCACCAGAGGGTGTGAACACCAGAAGAGTGAAGCTGCCCTGATCAACATTCACAATTCTCTCCCCACATGCCCTGATCTTGCCATTCTCGTTCCTCCTGTGTGCAGCATCGAGAGCTAGGTTACGGTGACATGCAGCCATGGGATCGAAAATCCTTATGTCAAAGAAGGCTAGCTGTCCCCGCCTCCAGAATCCTCGAGCACTGACGTCCACACGGGCTTCGTTGGATTTCCTTCAGTAAATTTGCTGTGAGATCCCTTACTTCGTCAAGCCTCATGCATACGAAGCCCCCTTTTCTTACACTCCATGGTGTGGTCCATGTCATAAGATAAGCCACAAACGGATTGGGAGGGCAAACCTTCTACTGGCCTACTGTACCTTAGAGCAATGGCATCTGTGAATTTTTGTTTATTAAGGATGAAGCCTTTTGCCCTTCTCAGTAGCGTTGTTAGCCAGTTTGAGGCGCCCACCTGCTGCGCTATCGCTACTTTTTTTCAAGTTCTCTGGCAATTCTGCAACAGTTGTAGCAGTTTATTACTTTGGGTGTGCTGCCGTTCTGGCGTAATGGACGGCCGAATCTTGTTTAATTCGTTAGTATCCACCTGACTTGCTGCATTCTGAGCTATTATATGCTCACTGAGGGCTGCCGTGAGCTTGACAGAGTTCTGATGTTCTGTACGGGCAAGCTCCACTGGATTAGTCAATCCCATTCCCACCAGTCTCGGTGGTAGTGCAAAGAGTGACCTTTCTGCTGGAGTTAAATAAGGGTTTTTCACTAGTGTTGGGATAAAAGCGACCTTGATGGCTTCTTCCAGGGGGCGGAGGGGGGTCCAATATCAGGGATAGTGAGCAGCAGGTAATTCCAGGGATGCGTGACTCCACGGGTGAATGCCGCAAAAGCCGCATGTTGCTCTGTTTTAGAAATATCAGACAGATCTGGGATTTCCTTCACCCACTCATTAACCTTTTCCGTTACGTACTCGGTCTTGAAGTCATTCGTGAAAATTACCGCACCTAGATGTCTTTGGCCGTTCTTTGTTATTTTGACCTCACTTCCACCAAACACACTCATTGCCCGTTCATAGTGTTCTGGCTTCACAATGAGGAAGGACTTGCTGGCATTTGGGTGGTGCCCTATTTGTGGACCTCTTGATGTTAGCAGGTCCCACCACTTTTGATGTCCTCCCTTTTTCCTGCTCCTGTTAGGTCATCAGTGTATGCCACTTGCTTGACCGCGATTGTTTCATATTCTATTGTATGTTGGAGCGCAGACAGGCCTAATGCGTACATTGCCATGGCGACAAGGTCCCCCTGCGTTGTTCCCTCAGTTGGCTGTATGATGGTATCTCCTAATATGGCCTTGAAGCTTGTTATATAGAGGTCTGATGGGTTCCTATAGGTGTTTTCAACAAACATTGCAAAGCTTGGACACTTGATCTTGATGTTGTGCAGTGTAGCCTTGCGGTTGATTATGTTGAATGCATTGGAAGCATCAACCAAGAGTACTGCCAAAATTCACGCTGCTCAAATATCTTTCCCATGGCGTGAATGGCAGCCCCCTCCCCAGCCTGGTGGCCAGCACATACTTACAGGTTCCCTGCGGCTTTCCTGACATCATCATTTACCACCTCCATTATGCATTTTCTAATTATCCGTCTCAGCACTTCCCCCACCCCTATAGGCCTACATCCTAGATTTTTATCCAGGGGAATGAGGCGGCAGGCCGTCAGAGCATGGAGGAGTTGGCAGCACGAGGTTGCTAGCTTTCTTGCAAGAGCGGCGGTGGCGTTGCAGAGATCACTTGCTGCGGCACCAAACTTGTTAGTGCTGAGGATGACTCTCCAACCGTTTGCATCCAGGCCTGAAGGGTCAACCCCTCCCTGAGTTTTTAGTGCGTTTTTCCACACCATCCCTCCTGCTATTTTCTCGAACATGACAGCATTTGGAGGGATATAGGCACCCTGGAACCTGATGCCTTCCTCTTCACTTGCAGGGGGATGTTTTTCCTTCTGTTGTTGTAATGTCTCCATGTTTATTGGCAGAACACCACCGGAAGATTCCTCTGTGAGAGACCTTACCGCCGAGGACACTTTTCCCTCACGCATCTTGTTACCAAATTTTCTGGCAACATCCTCAATGTTTTACTTTCCGTCTCCTATGAATTTTAGACTCCTGCAGTGTTCTTGCTTCGCATAGGAGATCATCAAGGGCCTTTTTCTGCCACATTGTTAATCTCCTATTCATTGCTGCCACATTTTCTTTGCACTTAGACCTTGCGTGTGTTTTCTGGCAAAATAGATGGGTATTATGGCCAGTATTTGAAGAGCTAGTGGGGCCAGGGGGGAATCGTGAGTGTAATTGATTATGAGGCAAGTCATCTCCCGGATCATTTCTTTGGTGGCCGTGCACTTGGGTGGTTCAAAGAGGTTAGCTGGCGGCTACCTGACCATTTCTGAGTAGACTTCTTTGACCCACTTCTCCGCATCGTCCCCCGACAGCCCTTTCCAATTTGTTGACTGTATGTCATTTACCTCATGAACAATATTTTCCGACTGTGGGTTCACTACTATCGTCTGACATGTCGTCATCAGGTGATGGATCTCTGCTGTAGGGATTTTGACAGCTGGTCCCTTTCCTGCAACCCACACATAGTGTGTTACTTCTCACGCAAATACGGGTTGTGCATTTCTGATTCCGGCCTGAGCGCTGACAAACACATTTTCCAGCCATGACGTTGACCTGGGAAGGAGAAGGCAGTAGGAGAGGTAGGAAGTTGTGGTTTGGGAGGGTCAGTTTTTGGTGTACTGGCCGATGGGGCCTCCAGCCTCCCCCAATAGCCATACCTTCGCCACCATTTTATTACCTTAATATTAAATATCCTAATACATAAGTCGCTATCCTAGCTGTGTTGAGTTAGTTGAGCCGAAGATCTATGCGGCATTCAGTGACTGTATCCTCATAGTAGTAATAATAATAATAATAATAATAATAATAATTAACGGTTTATTGAAAGAGCTTGGCAGCCAGAAGGCTGAAAATATACAGTTACATATTTGGGGAATGGGTTTCGAATTACAAATAATATACAAGTAACATGAGTGATACAAATAAGATATATAATAACTAGATGGGGAAAAGCTCAAACTACAGTGCATTTCAACATAGTGACAGTGCAAGAAGTTGTATTTACTGGGAGTGAATACACTGGTTTATTACAAGTTATTGATAATTTTTACAATGGTTGGGACTGGGCTGTTCTTATAGCGATCAGTTCGTGCACGTACTGTTGTCGGCTTTGGGGCCGATGCTCTCGTTCCCCTGAGGCAGAGCAAAGCCGACCGAAGGAGAGAGAAGGACAGTCGACATCTCATCCAGGCTGTAACATAATTTCTGGGCTGCTGCTTCTGTTCGGATATCACCTCCGCGAGTCTGGCGTAGAAGCATCTTGCACTTGGTCCCATCCCACCAGAGGTTGTGAACACTAGAGGAGTGAAGCTGCCTTTATCAACGTTCTGATTTCTGTCCCCCTATGCCTTTATCCTGTTGTTCTCGTTCCTCCTGTGTGCAGCATCGAGAGCTAAGTTACGGTGACATGCGGCCATGGGATAAAAAATCCTGATGTTGAAGAACTCTCTCTGTCCCCGCGTCCAGAATCCTCGAGCACTGACGTCAACGAGCTTCGTTGGATGTGTTTGAAGTCCTATGTTGGAAAATCTCACCGTCCAATGGAAGGAGGGTCGGTTCTACCCTGACATCACGACAGATTTCCTTCAAAATATTTGCTGTGAGATCCCTTACTTCGTCATGCCTCGTGCATATGAAGCCCCCCCTGTCTTGCACACCATGGCGTGATCGACGTCATAGGAAGAGCCACACTCGCATTGGGAGGGCAAACCTTCTACTGGCCTACCGTACCTTAGAGCATTGGCATCTGTAAATTCTTGTTTATTGAGACTGAAACCATTTGTCCTTATCGGTAACGTAGTTAACCACTACTACTACTACTACTACTAATAATAATAATAAAAATATTAATGCGTTTGCTTCTACTACTACTACTAATATGTGTCCGACCAATTCTCGATATTGTCGAGGTTCATTGATACTGTATATTTACAATAATGAGGAAATTAAAAACTGAACACCACTTTTTTATTTAATGCTGAAATAAGTTACTACAAGTTTGTATATAAATTACCAGAAATTTATGTGATTATTAATATAGTGTTGGCTCTCGGTGATGGTGTAAACATTACTCAGTGACACCATAAGGGTGACAGTGCACTTAGTGGCACCATAAGGGTGACAGTATACTCTGTGACACCATTTTATATCACCTATAATATATAGAGATATATAATTTATTTATTTTTTTCTATTTTCTATCAGTACGTGTTAAATGCACCACTCGTTAAACATTTTGTTACAACAGAACACCGAGGAACACACACACACACACACACACACATACGCACACAGAGGGTCGGCGAGCGGCGGCGGAGGAGGGAGGTGAGACCGAAGAGGAGGAGGAAGGCCACTCGGAAGGTTGTGGTCCTGGAGCGAGAATCTTCACGTTTTGTACTTTAAAATTTTCTCTGTTGGCAATAAGAACACATTTCTGCTCACGACAGTCCTTGAACATATTTAACACCATTTAAAACTAATCTTTATCCTGAAGACAAAATATCGGATTTGTTTTAACCCGCCAGACGGTTTTATTCCTCTTACAGAAAACCAGAGCATTGTCAGGGGTAACTATCCTTAACCATATGACTCTGAGACCCCCATCGTCGTTAATGTCTGATCCACACAGTCTCGTATTTGGTAGCTACGACTCGATCCAGGTTGTAGTGTACATAGGTGGTGCCTGGGATGGGCCTCGAGTACAGCAGGTGGTAGCCATAGTACTCCAGTCCCAGCAGGAGGCGGTAGGCATCGTCCAGATATGTGAGGTATTCGTCCGTCGCCATGGGTAGGTGGAGCAACAGGCGTATCTGTCAAGTGAGAAAGGAGATGTTACGTTTTAGCATTACAACTACTCATAAGATAATGTTAAGAGTACACTAATACCTCTATTTAACGGACATTAATCTAGTGGGGTCTGGTCCGTTATATGGAGGTTTAACATGTAATGGACCTCAATATATTGGATTGTACTCTCCCATGTATATCCTTTATATGGAAGCTTAACATACAATGAACCTTGATATAACGGACTATACCCTCCCAATTATAGTCCGTTAAACAGAGATCTCATTGTAAGATTGAGTGAACATAATCCTATACAGTAAAACCTAATAAACGGCACCATAGCCATGTTACTGCATCGTAAACACTGAGTCAAACAAGTCTTTCAAATCCTTAACTTTTATAAATAACAGGAAATTGCCTAAGCTTGCTATTAGTATCCTTGTGGCTGGCACGGTAGCGTTCCTTGATCCTAAGGCGAGGTCCCGGGTTTGATACCAACCAAATATGGAGACAGTGAGAAAGACAGACAAGGCAAGGAAGTGAAGTAGGTCGAGTTGCCACACCTCCACCTGGCCCTCTGATGAGCTACTGTAACTCACATCACCTCTTCCTGACCCTCTGAGTGCCTGTACCTCACAACACCTCCTCCCGGCCCTCTAATGAGTTACTGTACCTCACATCACCTTCTCCTGGCCCTCTGAGTTACTGTACCTCACAACACCTCCTGACCCTCTGAGTTACTGTACCCACAACACCTCCTCCTGACCCTCTGATGAATTACCGTACCTCACAACACCTCCTGATGATGAGTTACCGTTCCTCACAACACCTCCTCCTGACCCTCTGAGTTACTGTACCTCACATCATCTCCTCCTGACCCTCTGATGAGTTACTGTACCTCACAACATATCCTCCTGACCCTCTGAGTTACTGTACCTCATAATACCTCCTCCCGGCCCTCTGAGTTACTGTACCTCACAACATCTCCTCCTGACCCTCTGATGAGTTACTGTACTCACACCTCCTCCGGTCCTCTGAGTTACTGAACCTCACAACATCTCCTCCTGACCCTCTGATGAGTTACTGTACCTCACAACACCTCCCGGCCCTCTGAGTTACCTGCTTGACGTGTTTGTAAGCTTGGTAGCCAGACGTGAAGAGGTTCCTTAAGAGAGTCCACTCGGTCCCCTTCATCGTCGTCTTCACGTAATTGATGGGTTTATCCTGTAGGAGAGGTCATCACAGGTTAGGTTAGGTTAGGTTAGGTTATGTTGTGAGAGGTTATATAACACAATGTCAATACTGTACTTGGTTAATACTTGTATGTGTTGGAGACTGGGTCAGGAATGAGGGTTTTTCAGACTCATGAACCCGAGGCATTTATGGTACAGAATAATGTATCAGCTTCAGGTTCACGTGTCTGAATGTCTCGTGGGTTCGGGGTTCAGGTGGAGAGACGAACGGACTTTAGTAGTTGACTGTCCGGCTAGACTAACTGTGAGTGTCCATTGATAAGATAAAGCTAATTAATGATTGTACAGGTAAGACTAGACTAACCTTATGAGTCCATAGGTAAGATAAAACTAATTAATGACTGTACAGGTAAGACTGAGTATATGTGTGTGTCCATAGGTAAATAAAAACTAATTAATGACTGTACAGGTAAGACTGACTATATGTGTGTCCATAGGTAAAATAAAACTAATTAATGACTGTACAGGTAAGACTGAGCATATGTGTGTGTCCATAGGTAAAATAAAACTAATTAATGACTGTACAGGTAAGACTGACCATATGTGTGTCCATAGGTAAAATAAAACTAATTAATGACTGTACAGGTAAGACTGAGTATATGTGTGTGTGTCCATAGGTAAGATAAAACTAATTAATGACTGCACAGGTAAGACTGAGTATATGTGTCCAAGTAAAAAATACTAATTAATGACTGTACAGGTAAGGCTGGAGGACTAAATCTATGTGTGAGGAGATTTATGAAGTTATCGAGGGTGTAGGAGCCGAGAGCAGAGACATTAGCGAGCTCTAGAGGATAAAGGTAGACGTTCTTGGTGACTTGAGCGTAGCTGTACTCCGTGAGGGCTGCCATCATGTGGTGGCAGCCTCGTTCACCCATCTGTAGGTGACACTCGTGTTATGTAAGAGTAATATAGACCAAACTAATATTATTTGGTTATATTATGATGGCAAACTATGTCTTAACCCTTTTGAGGAAGATGGTTTAACTTTTGAGGATGATGGTTTAACCCTCTGAGGATGATGGTTTAACCCTCTGAGGATGATGGTTTAACTTTTGATGATAATGGTTTAACCCTTTGATAAGTTTAACCTTTTGAGGATGATGGTTTAACTTTTGAGGATAATGGTTTAACCCTTTGAGGATGATGGTTTAACTTTTGAGGATAATGGTTTAACCCTTTGAGGAGAAATGGTTTAACCTTTTGAGGATGATGGTTTAACTTTTGAGGATAGATGTTTAACTTAAGATGATGTTTCTTTGAGGTTGATGTTTAACCTTTGAAGATGATGGTTTAACTTTTGAGGATGATGGTTTAACTTTTGAGGATGATGATATAACTTTTGATGATGATGGTTTAACTTTTGAGGATGATGGTTTAACTTATGAGGATGATGGTTTAATCTTTGAGGATGATGGTATAACTTTTGAGGATGATGGTTTAACTTTTGAGGATGATGGTTTAACTTTTGAGGATGATGGTTTAACCCTTTGATGATGATGGTTTAACCCTTTGAGGATGATGGCTTAACCCTTTGAGGATGATGGTTTAACCCTTTAAGGATGAGGGTTTAACTCGAGAGGATGATGTTTGAACCCTTGAGGATGATGTTTGAACCCTTGAGGATGATGTTTAAACCCTTTGAGGATGATGGTTTAACCCTTTGATAAACGATGATGTAACCTTTCAGGACTCAAAGGGTTAAAGGAAACAGCAAATTTTACTATATTCGAATTCATGTGCATTAAGTTATGGCAATAAAACAAAATAAATATATATATATATATATATATATATATATATATATATATATATATATATATATATATATATATATATATATATATATATATATATATATATATATATATATATAATGTGTGTAATATACACCTTACTTCAAACTTGATATCCTCGCGGTTGACCTGAAAGCATAGATCCGGCAGGCGTTCGGAGTAGAAGGCAGAGCGTCCAGGCAGATGTACGTCCCCTCGTGTCCTGATAACTGATAAACACAGACAAACGAACATTATAGAACATTCACACATCCACAAATACATAAATTTATGCATTATTTCACAGCAAACACACAAACAGAATATTTACCAGATACACATAAAAGCCAATGTATCTAAATAATAAAACATTAGCACACACACACACAAACAAACAGGATTTTAACACACACACACACACACACACACACACCATCAGTCACATAACCATATACATACTAATCTCTACCTAACACCTAATTAAAGGTATAATATTGGAACACAAGGGCCAGTGGTTTTCCCTGCTACATCAACTTCTACCACCGTCTGTCCACCTGACCTACTCCCGCTACTAACCTTCATCGTCTATGTTGCTCTCGATTCTTCGCGTCTTTAGGTTTCCAATGTCTCCCTACTGGACTACCTCTGTCATTAGGATTTCTACTTTTGTTTAAGGTAAAGAAACCTTATTAGCTCTCTATGGTTAATGATAATAATGAGTTTGTTTTGTTTTAGGTTGGATACTTATGCCTGTACCCCCACCCCTGTTAAGGCATCTCACCAAAGGTACTCTCCTACGTGTACTTGAGAAGCACCACACACTTAACTCTCTCTACCCTCTTCTGCTTAAGGCAACTCACCAGCGTACTCTCCCCACGTGTTTACTTGGGACCACACACTGTGCCTCTCTCTACCCTCCGTTTAGGCAACTCACCGACGCGTTCTCTCCCTCACGTGTACTGGAGCCAGGGACCACACACCTGCTTTCCTCTCACCCTCCGTTAAGGCATCTCACCGACGCGTACTCTCCCTCATGTACTGAGCCAGGGACCACACACTGTGCCTCTACCCTCCGTTAAGGCATCTCACCGCCACATCTCTCCTCACGTGATTGAGCCAGGGACTAACACTGTGCCTCTCTACCTCCGTTAAGGCAACTCACCAAAGGCATTTCTCTACGTGTACTTAGGACTGTGCCTCATCTCCACCCTTACATCCACCAAAGGCATTTCTCGTGTGTACTGGAGCCAGGACTACACACTGTGCCTCTCTCATCTCAAAGGCACCACCAAAGCGTAGTCTCCTCGTGTACTGGAGCCAGGGCCCACACCTTACCTCTCTCTACCCTCCGTTTTACAACTCAAAAGCGTACTCTCCTCGTGTACTGGCCAGGCCCACACATTTTACCCCCACCTGTTAAGGCAACTCACCAAAGGTACTCTTCGCGTGTACTGGAGCCAGGGCCCACACACCTTACCTCTCTCACCTCCGTTTAGCAACTCACCAAAAGGCATTTCTCGGTGTACTGGAGCCAGGCCCACACACCTTACCTCTCTATCCCTCCGTTTAGCAACTCACCGACGCGTTCTTCTCCTCACGTACTGAGAGCACTAGCATGAGGCTGCAGTTGGCAGTGGGGTGGGTGATGTAGTCAAACAGATCATCAGGTCCCGAAGGCAGAAGGGATGCGGGCTGCAGCAGGCATGGGTGTAAGCATATCTAAAAAAATTAAATAAATATATATATATATATATAATATATATATATATATATATATATATATATATATATATATATATATATATATATATATATATATATATATATATATCTCATTCTTAACTTATTATGGGTGTGATGAAGGTAACGGTGATACTTTGATATACATATTATCCCCTATACATGTTCATTTTAGATAGTACAGTATTATATTGTTACAAAATAAACACAATTTTTGTATCCTACACAATAATAATTCATGTTCTCAGTCTCCTGTAGTAAATACTCTGGCAATAAGCCTCTACTTACAAATGGAGGAAAGTACTGTACTGAATTTGAAGAGCCAGTCAGGCAGGTATAATGGCCTCGGTAACCCCCTTTGTCTCCTCAAGGAATATATATAATGTAAGGAAGCAAAACTCCCATCTATTAGCATTAGATTATCTCTGTCGTCGTTCTGTCATTGAGCCACCTAACTAAAGCGACATTCCTTCTCCTCCCGCCCAACCTTGGCTCTCCCTTATATGTTATGGTGCCACTCAGCATTCAAGTTCTTCCCGTCACTATTATTTATGTAAGGACAGGACTCCCTTCCTTATAGTTTCCGCATTATTTAAACTCATTACTTCCGGGTATTATATTTTACGTGTTTTTCCGGTCATTATAATCTTAATTAATGTTACGTAACGTGACACCAAACACAACCCCATGCCTGATGACCTCTTGTTCACTTGATAACAATTCGTGTTCTTCCTCATTCTCTTGTTTTTGTTTTGTTTTGGTTCTTCTTCTTGTTTTTGTTGCTCTACTTTTTCTTGTTCCGATTTCTGTCTTGTTTTTGTTCTTATTGTTTTTGTTCTTGTTCTTCTTCACATTTTTCTTCGTCTTTGAGGCAGATCTTTCCTTCCCACTATTCTTCCATTCCCTATTTTTGTCATTATTATTATTGTCCATAATTCCTCATTTATCTTCTGGCCTTTTGTCTCTTTCTTTATTTTCTATCAGTTATGCCTTCGATATACTTTTCTTTATCAACACACCAGAGGTCACAGTGATTCGTGCATCTGTGAGTCTCTGTGAGTCTGTGTCTCTGTTAGTTTATCCACTTACATTATATTTTAATTAAGACTTTTTTCATTTGAGTAATTAATGATATTTTATTATACTCGAAGAAATATATTTTTTTTTAGTATTAGTTCCCTCAAATATCATCGTTTGTTCATTTATTAAGTATCATAATTTAGAATCTGTTTTAGTGAAGTGTTTAATTATCTTTAAGTTCATTTACATTCACTGATTATCAAAATACAGTGATATAATTTCCTTTTTTATGAATCTAATACTCACATGTATCTAATCGTCATTACACTAAGAAACTACCTTAGCAATTAAACATTATAAATATCAAGGTATCAGCCAGGTAATGTGCCTTATAGCAGGTGACATTTTCTATATAATTAATTAACTTTGTCACCTTTATATCTCAAACATTATCTCTATATGTATTTAATTTCAGAGTTGATTGTAGTGTGTGTGTGTGTGTGTGTGTGTGTGTGTGTGTGTGTGTGTGTGTGTGTGTTTTAGGAGTGAGAATGATTAAGATAACGAGAGAGAGAGAGAGAGAGAGAGAGAGAGAGAGCGAGCTATCTTACTGTCACCCCATCTAACCTTTACCACCTGAACACACACCACCGCCTACCCACTGCCCTACAAACCTTCAACTTATCACCACAGAATAAAAACACATAAATATTACATTTAGGTGAGTTAGGTAACCATCTTTTTCCCTCTTTTCTATCTGACCTGACTAAAGATATTATTTCTGCCTGAGGGAGTTTTTGAAGTCTGGTTAAAAATACTTTGAGTTCTGGTGAGTTAATTCATCGTCATCAAAGGGTTAAATCATCGTCATCAAGGGGTTAAATCATCGTCATCAAAGGGTTAATTCATCGTCATCAAAGGGTTAAATCGTCGTCATCAAGGGGTTAAATCGTCGTCGTCAAGGGGTTAAATCGTCGTCATCAAGGGGTTAAATCATCGTCATCAAGGGGTTAAATCATCGCCTTCAAAGGGTTAAAACATCCTTCTGAAAAGGTTAATCCACCATCTTCAAGAGGTTAAAACATCCTCCTCAAAGGGTTAAACTATGGAATTGCCTTCATCTAAATATTGCTGAGTATAAGAAAAAAAATATTAAGTAGAGGTTTCAGGGATAAATAATAATATTGTCTAACTTTCCCTGCGATGCTGGTGCTGGTTCTTGATTGATGACGTTGTACTTGATTTTACTCTGACGGTACACTAGATATTGCTACGAAAAATATAATGATAATAAATGAATTGATCCATAAGCTTGTTGATTGGGACTCGTCAGACAATGTAGTACCTAAATTAAAATGAATATGAGGCGAACAGTTAAGACACAGAACAGGAAAATAGTCAAGACGTCCAATTCTTTTCCTCTCTTGTCAAATATATCGAAACTTATTATTCCCTTTTTTCTGGATAACTATTGTAAAAACTGGTGCCAGGTAAGGAAGGTCATTAGTGCACGTAGAGTTTACCTGTACAGTAGGAGAGTAGTGAAGATGTTGAAGTCTTAATCTTTTGTGAAATATCTCGCCCACATTATCTTAAACCATATCACCACTGGATAAATCTGTCATCTTAAAATTAGTGCCAGGTAAGGAAAGTCATTAATATACGAAGAGTTTACCTGTAGAGTAGAAGAGTAGCGAAGACTGAGTAGGCCAGCAGAGAACACACTAGAGACATAGACACAACACTATACACCTGACTCATCCTGCTGGTTCTGGGTCGATATCTAGTCTCGTATTTTGCCTCTTCCTCCGTGGAGCTCATGATGGTGGCACTGAACAACACAGGTGTGGCAACTGAGAGAGCTGAACTACAAGTAGCCACGAGGTCGACTCTAGTCTCCCTCCCTTCCTCCCGCTTGCCTGCCTGCACACCTGCCTCACACGCATGTCTTCACTCCTCCCATCCTCCACGAATTATTGTCAACATTTCCTCCTCCTTATGATTCACAAAACACTGTACTTGGAGATATTAAATTACTTGTAGATTTCAAAAGATTAGAGGAGTTAATTAAAAAAATAGATTAGTGTTTAAGTTTTATGTTTATATGTTTGTGTACGTGTATATGTGTGTGTGTGTGTATACGTGATTGTTCAATACCTGTGGCGTGGAAGGTTGACGTAGTAGAGTAATTCCCTCAGGGTAGA